CAGGTGCCTGGGCAACATAGAAAGACCCTCATCTCACCAAAAAAAAAAAAAAAAAAAGATAAATACTAAAAGATAATCTGTAACCTATATATAATCAACAAGATTAGTATGTAGATGATACAAAGAAGTCTTATAAATAAAAAAATACCAGCAGACTTATTTTTTTCTTTATTTTTTGAGAGAGTCATGCTCTGTAACTGAGGCTGGAGTTCAGTGGCATAATCTTGACTCACTGCAACCTTCACCTCCCAGGTTCAGCGCCCTTGAGGAGCTGGGACTACAGGCATGTGCCACCATGCCTGGTTAATTTTTGTACTTCCAGTAGAGACAGGGTTCTGCCATGTTGGCCAGGCTGGTCTTGAATTACTGGCCTCAACTGATCCATCCGCCTCAGCCTCCCAAAGTGCTGGGATTACAGGTGTGAGCCACCATGCCCAGCCACAACCCGATTTTTAAAAGGTCAAATGCTATGACAGCCATTTTACAGGAAAAAAAAATGGTATAGTTGTGGTGATGCTCCTCACACAGAGCACCAGCTGCGGGGAGTCTGTCCCTTGCAGACCCCTGACCCGGCGAAGGATGAATGAAGTATACTGACACAGATATTCTGCTTTGCCAGTCCAGCTGAGTGTGTCCAGGCTGCTTACAAACTCCCTGTAGAGTACTGTAAACAGTTGCGATGGCGGCCCTGACCAGCTAGTGAGACTCTCATTTATTCAGTAAAGATTAATTGACAAAGACTTGAGTCAACACCACTACAGGGTAACTGACACTGTGGACTTCCTGAGTAGAAAGCAGTTAAGCACCTGTGATACATGAAAGGTTAGTCTTAAGACCACATGAGTAAACAAGCTAGCTAGCTAACTTCCCCACATTCCTTTGTTATTACTCTAATTTATTTAACTAAAGGTAAAGATCAGGTCGCCTTCAACCATATCTATTACTGAAGTTATGCAAACTCTCAGGCCTTCGAAGAGGGTTTGTGGCTATCATAACTAATATTTTTCCCACCAGCCTGACTGAACCCCTACATATAGTTACTAAACATTTGAAATGATACTCAATGTTATTAGTAATCAGGAAATTACAAATAAAGACCCACTGAAATACAGGTTGAGTATCCCTAATCCAATAATCTAAAATCCAAAATGCTCCAAAATTCGGAAGTTTTTGAGTATCAATATGATGCTCAAAGGTAATGCTCTTTGGAGCATCTCAGATTTCAGATTTTCAGACTACAGATGCTAACCAGTAAAAATAATGAAAGTAATCCAAAATCCAAAAAAACTCAAAATCTGAAACATTTCTGATCGCAAGCATCTTTAGCAGCATCTCTGGTCTCTTAAAAAAAAAAAAGAAAAAAATGGCAAAGATCTGATAATACAACATGTTGGAGAAAATGTGGCTCAGAAGGAATTCTTACGTATTGCTGGTAAGAAGGAACTACTTAGGAAAACAATTTATCATTGTCTTATAAAGACTAATACTGCCTATCTTATAAACAGCAAAAATACTGTCCTAGGTTTATACCCAAGAGAAACTTCTGATGAAGATAATCAGTATCTATGTGTGCTAAAAGACATGATTATTCATAAAACAATGCTCACAGAAGCAAGAAACTGGAAACAATCCATTTATAGAATATGTTTAATCACACAAGTCATATATGGCAGTGAAAAAGAATGAGCTATAGCCATATGCAATAACATGACAATATTAGAAAAATTATGCATGAAAAAAATCCTGTGATTCTGGGGATTTTTGTTTTGCTGTTTGAGACAGGGTCTTGCTCTGTTGCCAAGGGTAGACTACAATGGCACGATCACAGCTTGCTGTAACCTCGAACTCCTGGATTTCAAGTGGTCCTCTCGCCTTTGTCTCCCATATAGCTAGAATTACAGGTGCACACCACCATGCCTGACTTTTTTTTTTTTTTTTTTTGCCTTGCTGTTTTCTTGCCTTGTCTCATCAGTGTTTATATCATTAAAAAATAAAACAACCCAGTGCAGTGGCTGTTTTGTTTTTTAATGATATAAACACCCACGAACACACCACACAATCCAAGAAGTAGCAGCTTGGCAAAAGCCACTATCAAACTATGAAATCCTCCTGAAACTATCCCTGTGCCTCTCATGCACAGGTACTCGTTGATCTAAACGTTGCATTTATTGTACTCCTGCTTTTTTCCCCCTTTTGTGTGTGTGTTCTTGCTTTTAAAAGTAGAGCTATATATATGCCAAAACAAAAATTCATTCTGTTTTTCAGTGTCATTAAAAACAGAATCTGGGCCGGGTGCAGGGGCTCACGCGTGTAATCCCAGCACTTTGGGAGGCTAAGGCGGGTGAATCACCTGAGGTGAGGAGTTCACGACCAGCCTGGCCAACATGGTGAAACCCCATCTCTACTAAAAATACAAAAATTAGCTGGGCATGGTGGCACGCACCTGTAGTCCCAGCTACTAAGAGGCTGAGGCAGGAGAATCACTTAACCTGGGAGGCAGAGGTTGCAGTGAGCCGAGATCGTATCGCTGCACTCCAGTGTGGGAGACAGAGCGAGACTCCGTCTCTAAAAAAACAAACAAACAAAAAAACCAAAAGAATCATTAGATTTTTCACTTGAGGGCAGTAATTCAAGAACAGTCCAGGCAACATGGCAAGACACTGTCTTTACAAAATTAAAAAATTAGCCCACACACACCTACAGTGAATTCATTTTTGATAAAAGTGCCAAGAACATACACTGGGGAAAAGAGAGTCTCTTGGTCAGGCACGGTGGCTCATGCCTGTAATCTCAGCACTTGGGAGGCCGAGGCGGGAGGATCACTTGAAGTCAGGAGTTCAAGACAAGCCTGGCCAACATGGTGAAACCCCACCTCTACTAAAAATACAAAAACTAGCCCGGCGTGGTGGCAGGCATCTGTAATCCCAACTATTCAGGAGGCCGAGGCAGGAGAATCACTTGAACCAAGGAGGCAGAGGTTGCAGTAAGCCAATACTGCACCACTGCACTCCAGCCTAGGTGACAGAGCAAGACTCTGAGGAAAAAAAAAGAAAAGAGATAGTCTCTTCAATAAATGGTGCTGGGAAAACTGGCTATCCATTACAGAGAAGAATGAAACTATACCCCTATCTCTCGCCACATATGAAAACCAATTCAAATGGATTAAAAACTTAAATCTAAGACCAGACTATGAAACTACTACAAGAAAACACTGGGGAAAATCTCCAAGACATTGGTCTGGGCAAAAATTTCTTGAGCCATACCCCACAAGCACAGGCAACCAAAGCAAAAATGGCCAAATGGGATCACATCAAATTAAAAAGCTTCTGCACAGCTGGGCACGGTGGCTCACACTGTAATCCCAGCACTACGGGAGATGGAGGTGGGCGGATCACCTAAGGTCAGGAGTTTGAGACCAGCCTGACCAACATGGTGAAACCCCATCCCTACTAAAAATACAAAATTAGCCAGGCATGGTGGCACATACCTGTAATCCCAGCTACCTGGGACGCTGAGGGAGGAAAATTGCTTGAACCTAGGAGGCGGAGGTTGCGGTAAGCCAAGATCGCACCATCGCACTCCAGCCTGGGCAACAAGAGCTAAACTCCGTGTCAAAAAAAAAAAAAAAAAAGCTTCTGCACACACAGCGAAAGAAATAACAAAGTGAAGAGACAACGAATATTTGCAAACTACCCATCTGCCAAGGGATTCATAACCAGCATATATAAGGGGCTCCAACAACACTACATGACAAAGTCTAATAATCCTATTAAAAAATGGGCAAAAGATTTGAATAGACATTTTTCAAAAGAATACAAATGGCAAACAGGCATATATGAAAAGGGGCTCACCATCACTATCATCAGAGAAATGCAAATTAAAACTATAGTGAGATCTCATCTCACTCTAGTCAGAATGGCTTTTATCCGAAAGACAGGCAATAATAATGCTGGCAAGGATGTGGAGAAAAGGGAACCCTTATACACTGTTGGTGGGAATGTAAATTAGTACAAACACTTTGGAGAACAGTTTGAAGGTTGCTCAGAAAACTAAAAGTAGAGCTACCATATGATCCAGCAATCCCACTGCTGGATATATACCCAAAAGAAAGGACATCAATACATTGAAGAGGTATCTGCACTCCCATGTTTGTTGCAGTATTGTTCACAATAGCTAAGATTTGGAAGCAACCTAAGTGTCCATCAGCAGATGAATGGGTAAAGAAAACGTGGGACATGTACACAATGGAGCACTATTCAGCCATAAAAAATAATGAGACTCAGTCATTTGCAACAACATGCATAGAACTGGAGATCATTATATTAAGTGAAGTAAGCCAGGCACAGAAAGACAAATGTCATGTGTTCTCACTTATTTGTGGGATCTAAAAATCAAAACAATTGAACTCATGTACTCATGTATGAAGAGAGTAGGATGGCTACCAGAGGCTGGGAAGGCTAGTGGAAGGCTGGGGATGATTAATGGGTACAAACAAAAATAGGAAGAATGAATAAGACCTACTATATGACAGTACAACAGGGTGACTATAGTCAATTTTAACTTAATTGTACATTTTAAAATAACTTAGAGTGTAACTGGATTGTTTATAACACAAAGGATAAGTGCTTGAGGGGATGGATAAAGAAAAAAATAAAATTCATTCTAAAAATAGAAAATTAGCTAGGCATGGTGGGAGGATCGCTTAAGCCCAGGCTGTCGAGGCTGCAGTAAGCCATGTTCATGCCACTGCACTCCAGCCTGGGTGACACAGCGAGACTCTGCCTCAAAAAAGGAAAAAAAAAAAAAAAAAAAGCAAAACCAAAGACAAAATAAAATAAAGTAGACCAATAATGACAGTATGTTGTGGATCAAGAGTTACAGTAATTCCATGTACCTGAGGTCCATTATGCCACTCCCTACACACACACACATACACACAAACACACAGGAGCTGAAAACAGCACACAAAGCTGTCCCTTCCCTTTTCCCCACACCCCTACCTGTGTCCGAGCATTGAGCAGCTGCTGGAAGCTCTCAACCTCTTTGCTGTCATCTGCAGCCCGCTCCTAAGGGAAGACAAAGGGAAATGTCAAGTTTGGGGAAAGCAGTCCCTCACTTCAGGATGTCCCCTTCATTCCACACTTATTGTACTAAGCTGGACACTGTGCCAGACTCCAAGAGTAAAACGCTGAACAAGACAGGCATCATCTCTTCCCTCACAGAGCTAACAAAGCAGTGGGGGAAACCAAATTTTCTGGGTAGGAAGACAAGGAGAAGGAGCACCTATTACCATCAGCACACCCAGCATCATGTCATAGTTGTTGATCAGAAACACAAGCTGCTCTTTCCTTGAGGAGAACTCGGCTGCCACTCGAAGGACAAAATTCTCCACCTCCACCTGAAAAGGCAGAGAGGAAGAGGTGACACCAGAAAGCAAGGCCATCAGGCCCCCCTCTGGCTCCTCCTCAGCCTCCACCCACTGGCAGCAGCCCTGCTGCTGGTAAGTCTCTCCTGTCTGACCCTTACCTGCAGCTGTCCCAGCAACTGCATGGTCCGTTCATTGGGAATTGTCTGGTTGATGCTGACAAGAGCGGAGGAGAACTCTGCGTAGCGGCGTGTGATCTAGGACAGAGTGGGAAGGAAAATCACACCCACCTCCTGGCCCAACCACCACCACCTCCCAACTCCCTTGGTCAACCCGCCACCATGTGATGTGACTCTACCTCCAGTCCCTGCTACCCACAGTGCACCACTCACCATGAGTTTTATCACCCTCCCAGAATGCCTGCTCATAGCGTGGCCCATGATACAACTGTGACCGTGGCCAACCCCCACAATGATGCTTAGAGCCCTGCCTTTCAAGAACCCTTTGTTACCCTTGCCCTCCCTCACATAGTGGGGCCGTGTATCCAACCCCCCTAGGCGCTGGGGGTCAGTGCTTCGGACGCTCTGGACATTCATCTCCAGGATCAGCTCAAACCGTGGCCATAGCAAGGCAAGTACCTGTTCCCAGTACCTGTGGGCTTAATCAGAATCTGAGGTCAGCCGGCAAGGAATGTTGGAGAGGGATGGGAGGGAGTGGGGCACCATTCAGTTTAATGGTCAACAGTTAGTTGTGGGGATGGGGGGGCAGTGGTTGGAGAAAGGTGAGTCAAAAAGCAGCAGTACTGCCTCTGGAGCAAATCAATGGGAATAAAGGTTAATGATACCAGGTCAGTAGAAGTCTAAGGTCAGGGCAGAGTCATGCAAGACCAAGAGAGTTTGTGGCCTGTTGGGCATCAAGGACCAGAATTCAGTGACCTGTCCAGAGCAGGAACATCCCTCTTTGCTGCAATGTTACGGAACCGGAGAACAATGTGGATACAAAGAAAAACAGCAATGGCATCGTAGCAGTCAGCGAGATAGGACTCCAGGTGTTTCTATGTGATTGGGGAACAAGCAGAGGATTAAAAGAGAATGTCAGTTTGTTTTCCTCAGTGACTATGAACAAACGCATGTGTTTCTTTGGGGATGATGCACTGGATAGGACAGAAGGGAGAGATGTAAAATGCAACTGCCCCCTGCTTTCCTGTCCACTGCCACCCGGGTGGTCCTACTGCCTTACCCACCAGGATCTATGTTTTTGGCTTTTTTTGTTGTTGTTTTTTTGAGATGGAGTTTCGCTCTTGTCGCCCTTGTCGCCCAAGTTGGAATGCAGTGGCGCAATCGCAGCTCACTGCAACCTCCGCCTGCCTCCCAGGTTCAAGCGATTCTCCTGCCTTAGCCTCCTGAGTAGCTGGAATTACAGGCGCCTGCCACCACGCCTGACTAATTTTTGTATTTTTAGTAAAGATGGGGTTTCACCATGTTGGCCAAGCTGGTCTCGAACTCCTGACCTCAGGTGATCCACCCACCTCAGCCTCCTAAAGTGCTGGGATTACAGGTGTGAGCCACTGCGCCCGGTGTTTTTGACTTTAGAGACAGGTTCTTGCTTTGTCACCTAGGCTAGATTGCAATGGTACAATCACAGTTCACTGCAGCCTCAAACATCTGGGCTCAAGTGATGTTCCCACCTCAGCCTGCCAAGTAGCTGGGACCATGGGTGTGTACCACCATGCCTGGCTTATTTTTAAATTTTTTGTCAAGACAAGGTCTTGCCATGTTGCCCAGGCTGGTCTTGAACTCCTGGCCTCAAGCAATCTTCCTGCCTTGGTCTCCCAAAGTACCGGGATTACAGGTGTAAACCACTGCACCTGGCTGCAGCAGGATCTACGATCACAAGCCTATCACAGCAGAGTTCCAGGCTGAGCTTGGGTCAGGGGTTTGGAGGACCCTCAGTTTTCACGTGCTATTGCCTGATTGTGGGGCAGCAGCAGGGGGAGTCTCAGGGACCCTACACTCTGAGGATTTCATGGGAAGTAACACTGTGACAAGTCTAAGTAACAAGGCTTAGACATTTTTTTTTTTGAGATGGAGTCTTGCTCTGTCACCCAGGCTGGAGTGCAGTGGCGCAGTCTTGGCTCACTGCAACCTCCTCCTCCTAGGTTCAAGCAATTCTCCTGCCTCGGCCTCCTGATTAGCTAGGATTACAGGCTGCGCACGCCCGACTAATTTTTGTATTTTTAGTGGAGATGGGGTTTCACCATGTTGGTCAGGCTGGTCTCGAACTCACAGATCCTCCCGCCTCAGCCTCCCAAAGTGCTGGGATTACAGGTGTGAGCCACTGTGCCCAGCTTTTCTTTTTTTTGTTTTAAGAGACAGGTCTCACTCTGGAGTGCATGGCTCACTGCAGCCTTGACCTCCTGGGCTCAAGCAATCCTTCCACCTCAGCATCTCAAGTAGCTAGGACCACAGGCATACATCAACACAGCTGGCTAATTTTTTATTTTTTATAGACAGGCCAGGCTGGTCTCAAACTCCTGAGCTCAGGCAATCCTACTGCCTCAGACTCCCAAAATGCTGGGATTATGGGCGTGCGCTACTGTGCCCAGCCAAGGCTTAGACATTTTAGAATGAGGTGATCCTGATTTCAGTTCTACCAGAGTCATGACCCCACTATGCTGCTGATGAAGACTGGGGACAAAGGTGTTAAATAGTACAAGAAATAGGAATCTTACCAGGGTCATGCTGAGTGTACGGCCCATGACAGCATGGAACAGGTCATGTGCAGCCGGGCCAGACACAACAAAAAATTCACAGATGAAAAGGTATTCACGGCAGGAATTGTCTAGGAGGGCGTAGTGCTGGCTGCGGAAGAGGGCCTCAAATGGATACTGGGAGAGGAGAAGTAAAGAAGAAACACAGAAGGGATGGACCCCAACACTGACTTCCCATGGATATGGCTGCAATATCAGTAAACCTGGGTAATAAGAGCTGGGCAGACCCTTGGCATCCATCTAGGTCCAGGCTGTCAAAGAGCAAGCTGAATGGGCACTGAAAAGGTGGGGGAACATAGGGGTACAAAAAGGGCCTACACCCACCTGCTGTTGCTACTCCTGCATCCACCTCAACACCTGCCTCTGACCGTCATTCCCCTCATCCAGTCTTTCCCCTCTGCATGCCCTTTAGTCAATGGTTCCCAGCTCTTTTCACATCACAGCAGGCTGGAGTGATTGGAGAAGGCCACTCCCAAGTCTAAGGGTATCGAGACAGGGCCTGCAGGTTGGGAAGCTCTGCCCTGAGGTCTGGCCTTCCCTCCCTCCATGCTCAGAGTCTCTTTCATGACTGAAGCTTGTTCCTCCTCATACCCTCTGCTCTCCGCGCTGGGCTGTGTGAGGCACCAGGATGGGGGCCTCAAGTTCAGTGGGGGAGATGACAGAGCCGCGGGTTCCTAGGGTGAAAATGGTGTTCCTGCTGCGGAGTGATGGCTTTGAGAAGAATCGTAAGATGGGTCAGAGTCAGGGAAAACAATGAGACCATAACTGGGCCCAAAGACTCACTATCTGCAGGGACCCTAGACAGCGAGACATGGCCTAGTCAGCCCTCTTTCCCAGTACTAGGGCCCCACGTGATGACATCTGTGAACGGACTTCAGGGTGTCTCCCCACCTCCTGCAATCATATGCAAAACTATGTGTCAAAATGACGTGTGCATCTTTCTTAGGAGGGAGGCTATAGCTTTCATCACATTCTAAAAGGTTTCAGTCCCATAGGAAAAGGTAAGGAACAGTGCCTTGGTGGCTGCAGCCGAAAGTCCTCCCACTCTCAAGACCTGGCATGAGGGTTCCCCAGGACTAGGATATCTTTCTTCGCTGTATCTTCCACGCCCATTAGATCATCTTTCTCAGCAACTTCCTCATACTAAGAAAACAGAAGAGAACTGATAACCGTTTCTTCCGACAACACAATAAAATATTCCTTGCCCAGGGATGTCCCCTCCTCCCAGTCCACGTGCCCAGGAATGCCTCTCCCTCCTGACCTTACCTGCACCTTCATGAGCCGCCCCAGGTAAGAGCGGTAGTAAGACAGGTAGATCTTGCTCAGCGTCTCCACGTATTCATCCCTGATTTCCTTTGCTGTTGCTCGTTCATTGCCCAGCAGAAACTGATAGAAGAACCTAGGAGGTCAGGAACATGTCAGTCTACCTGTCTCCCAGGAAACCAGATGCCCACATTAGGCTGCTCAAAAGCTCAAAGGCCATCCCATGCACTTCCTTGGGGTTGTGACCTGTACTTCAGCAGGGCCGTCTGGGGGATCTGATAGTTGGTCATTGGTTTCCTGAAGGAATAAATCTTCTGGAGGATAAACTCTCGGATCTTCATCACTGCCTAGATGTGGGGAACCAAGCACAGAGCATGAAGCTGCAACCTTTTTGCTGTATGAGAGGAATTGGGGGAAGCAACAAATGGTAAACATAGGTTGAAAAGTGGTGCATATCTCTTTGGTATTTCTCAAGATTTTCAAGGAAACCCAGAGAGGCAAGAATGGGGCTGCCCAGAAAAGGCAGGGTGAAGTTCTTGGAGACAGGCTACAGTGAGCTCTGCCAAGGAAATCCATAGTGAAGATCTTGGGAGGGCTGCTTCTAGTAGCCTCCAGGGTATCCATCCCTACTTCCCACCTTGACCCGGAGCCGATCGAGCACGCCTCTGACATCCGCGCAGGCTGCTGTGCCTCTAGCTTCCTGCTCTCTGACTGCAGCTGCCTTGGCATCCAGCTCCTGTAGCTGCTCCAAGAACCTGGGCTCTGTCACTGGAGCCTCCAGAATCGCCCTGGGTAGCAGGAAGGGGTGGGATAAGTTACAAGGGAAACCCAGACATCCCTAAACCAGATCCAGACCACACTCCTTACCTCCAGCTCCTATCATCTCTACCACCTTGCATTGTACCGTATAGTCAGGACACAAGTATAAAGTTTTCTATTCCTGGACCTTCCCCCTATACACCTGATCTTACATCATTCTTAATCTTAATCTTTGATGCCTAATGCATGCCTAAAGAAATGGTGGTTAACCTGGCTACTAATTTCTAAAAAGCACTTAATCTGGAGCCAGTAGACCCACATGGTAAATAAGGTAGGTCACCCCAGCCCATTCACCCGCCATGGACATCATGACCCTTCAAACCGGTAACTCACGTGACCAGAGCAGAAGGCACGACCAGACCATCAACAAGCTCCCCAAGTTTCCCCCGAACTGCCTGGCGATTTCGAAGTCGAATGTTCATGGCTCCTGACTGTTCCTGCAGTGTCCGGATCTCAGAGCTGATGGAGCTGAGGTCACTCTGAAAAGCTCCCAACATCTGCTCCATTCGCTGTAGGGAAGGTAGAAGATGTTGCTGGAGTGCTATAGGGTTTGTAGGGGATAAGTGGGCCACCAAAGCCTCTCTGTGAAGTCCTCAGTATTCATCAGTCCATGAGGGTGGCAGAGGATGAGATACCCCAGATTACCAGGAAATAACATTAAATATGGCAGCAATAACAAAAAAGGCTCCTGAAGTCATCTTGAAAATGACCCTAACTTGTCCCCATCTTAAGGCTGATGACCTAAAAATGGCACCAGAGTCCATGATCTGGTTCAGAGCAGCTATTAGGGGTCACAGTTCAGGATTACTAACCTCCAGGACAGCATCACAGGCTGTGATCTGGTTGTGCAGAGATGCTATATTCTCACTCTCTTGAATATCTGACCCATAAAAAGTCAAGGGGCCTCATGGTGAAAATGGGAGAGCCTCAGATTTGTAGTACCTCTCCAATTGCTCTCTGAAGTGACAGAAACCTCACAGATGTTGACCCCAGCTGAGACATCTGTACCACACACCACAAAATCCCCATATCAATAGCACCGCCCCTTCCCTCTGCTGGAGGATACAATCCCGAATGGATTTCTGTTCAATCTGCTGTAGCTCCAGTTCAACTTGTTTTGAATAGTGACGAAGATCTACACCCTGGGAGGACATAAAGATGACAGGTCAGAAAAAAGTCTCAGTAAAGGGACACTGTAACAGAATCAGTGAAGGACTAAAGGATCAGATACCAGGCTGATATAACAAAAGCAAAAAACTGTTGTTTTTCCTTTTGGGGGAGAGTAGATAGAAGGGCAGATTAGTATAGGGGAAATCCTCACCGTTTTAAGAGCTTCCTTTACTAACTCATCCTCCAGATTTGCCTGAATGTGAACTGGAAATAGAAGTTTATCGTAAGGGTTCAGCTCCACAGCTTCCTCTCCCCACATTGAGTATCTGCACACCAATCCCTACCTTATTCCTTCCAGCTCCCATGCCTCTCAGATTACAGGTACTGCACCCACTCCACGCCATCACTTACCATCCACTTCATCCAGGATGAACTCATCAGAAGTGATATCCAACTCCCCAAGTTGCAGTGATTCCTGGAGCCCAGCACCACCCGCCTGAAAAGGAATAAGTTAATGGGAGTAGGATACAGTGAAAGACAGAAAGAAAAAATGTAATTGGATATCCCCAGTCCTTCAAGTAAGAAGGAGGTGCTTTTGCTGGAAGCCACAGGTACCGCTTTGAAAAATTCTAAGTCTCACATTGTACCCACTCTCCTATTTTGTGTTGATGGGTAAGGAATACGACAAGGAGTGAGACGATCCAATGAGACAGTGGAGGTAGCCCAGTATGGTGGCGGGCTCCTTGTAGTCCCAACTACTTAGAAGCTGAGACTGGAAGACTGTCTGAGGAGATCAGGAGTTCAAGGTCAACCTGGGTAACACAGGGAGAACCGTCTCAAGAAAAAAAAAAAAAAAAGTAAAAGACAAGACAGTGGAGATGACCTAATGAGGAAAGCTAGGAATTGCAGAGGATGGAGCTGAACTTGCACTTAAATTTAGGACCCTCAGGCTCCTGCCATCTTGGATGTTCTATCACACCTCTGGGGAACCCCAGGCTTTCTAGAAATGTCAAAATACATAGTGTTTACCTGCGTGCGAGATGCAATCTTAAACATACTCATTCATCTAATCCTAACAACGATGTATACAGTAGGTTCTATCTTTCTCATCTTATAGGTCTGAGAAATGATGGCACAGAAAAGCGGGTTAAATTGCCCAAGGGAACACAGCGTGTTAAGTGGCAGAGATGGAATTAGAATCCAGGCAGTCTGGCTCCAGAGTCCATGTTCTTAATCTTTATACTATATTACTTCTTGACTCTACCCCAAAATGTGGAGCGAAGTTGAAATTGTGCCCCAGAATATGAGTTTCAGCCACGAGGGTCCCGCTCAGGGTCGGGTCTGATCACAGGGAAGGGTACGGGGAGTCAAACAGGTAATATCACAGGTAGCAGCCAAGTTCCCACCCTTGTGCCTAAACCCAGCTCAGGTCTTTCTGAAGCTAGGAGCACCGGGACTACGGAGGAGAAACAGTTCCGCGCTCTCACCAGCGGGCCCTCTTCCTCCTCCATGTCTGACGTCCCAGCCCGCAACACCAGTTCCCGGGCGGCAGCCGCCATGGTCGCAGCGGCGGCCATTCCCTGCAGCCTCACTTCCGGCAACTGTCAGGCCGGCGAGTCTGTTCCCCGGAGTGGAGCTACAAGTCCCAAAGGGTCTTCCTCAGCGCGAAATCGTTCCCAGATATTTGAGTTAAATTGTTTGACTCCAGCTGTTCCCTTTCAGTTCTAACCACTTCACCCAACTCTAAACGGAAATGTGGAAGTCTGAAGCATAAACTAGCCCGGAACCTTCGCTTCTCTTAAACCTATGAACTTTACGAACTGTAAAGACAGGCACACCGGAAGTTGTGGTACCCAAGCCATACCCTCCTAAGTCCAGCTAGGTCAGGCTGAAACAGTTTCCGGAAGCACTTCTCCTAGATCGCCCCGCCTCTTCCTCCTGAAAGCTATATAATGATACCGCGTCACTTCCGCTCTCTCTTCCACAGGAGGCCTACACGCCGACGCTTGTGCTGCCGCCATGGTAAGCCTGGAATCCGTGCCGTGATCCAGCGACATCGCAACTCGGGCAAGGAAAGCCGGCTGTTGGGGTTCTGGAAACGCCCTGTCCTGAGGGCCTGAGACTTTCCGTATGAAGCCTTGGATCGCGCCCCTGGAAAGGGACACCAAAGATTTCCAGTTCCGGAGAGCGGGCCCGAGGAAGGGTCACTGCTCTGGCGCACGGCAGCTGCCTAAGGCTTGGGCGTATATGGGGAACTCTGGCTTCCGCCACGCACTTTTGGGAATGGGCAGGAGACCTGCCTCCTCTCTCCAAAGGTTGCATTTTCCCAAGCTTGAACGCTCCATGTACCTACTCTGCAGGACTGAGGAGTTTGCTGTGTGGTGTGAAAACCTTAGGGGTGGGGATCGGGTGCCTTTGCCACTTGTGTGACAGGCTTAACCGTTTTGTATGAAGTTCGTTTGCCTTATCAACCTTACTGTTTGATAGTTTACTGTGTCTAATTTCTCCCCCGTACTTTTTAAACCAGTCTCTAGTGATCCCTGAAAAGTTCCAGCATATTTTGCGAGTACTCAACACCAATATCGATGGGCGGCGGAAAATAGCCTTTGCCATCACTGCCATTAAGGTAAGTAAAGTAGGGTAAGGAATAGGGAATGTAAATGAGAATTGGGTTGTGAAGACATGAGCAAAAATGAAGCAAGGTTGGGGAGACTTGAGTCTCATCCAGAGCACCTTGACTGCTAGATTAAGAAAAGAAAGTGGTTTAGGGAGAGACTAACCCCTTTAACACTTACCACATTTACCACAGAAAATAAGTGATTAAAGCCAAGAGAGTGGTCTAAGGTCAAGCCAAAACATTTCACCCGGGGGAGTGGGAAGGAGGTATGGTTGCTCACCCGAATTCGCTAAGATTTTCCTGAACCGTGAGATCCTTCTAGATTCGGTTTCTTTACCCACCCCGCCATCATAACAGCAACCCTTCCTGTGAAATTTATATTCCCTCAGAATTGGAGGATTATTGGGCATCTTGAGGGATGAGTAAAAATGCCAACAGATAAAAAGTGTGAAGAAACTTGTAGATGGAGGGTGGAAGAAGTATCAGCAGGACATTTACTCATATGTCAGAGTTGACACTCCTGTTAAAGTGTGAAGGAGTACATCTCTCTCTTCGGCTTTTAAGAATCGAATCAGTGAATGCAAGAATAATTATTTCACTTGGGTATTTCTCTCCACAAACCTAATAAACTCCTGGCTTTCTAGATACACACGTTCTTTTTTTTTTTTTTTCTTAAGTCAGAATTTGTAGTTAGTTGTGGAAATAGCCTACCAGTATGTGTCCACTTCATGGGTGCAGGGCTAGGCCTGTCTTACAGTTCTTGGCTTCTGTTGCATGGTAGATACTTAGGCGACGTTAGCGAATGGATAGTAGTAGGGATACTGTTGGCTGGTTTAAGGAATGTGTAGAGGAAAATTCCTTCTGTTGGGTGCTCTGTGAAACTAATAAGGAAGGCAGTGTGAAATACTGTACTTAGATACTTGCTGTGAGGCTTAAGTAGAGGTGCACCATTCAGAAGTGTAATAGAGAATAACCTTCATGGATGAAAGTTATTCTAACTAAAATTAGAAATCTCATTTTATCTATCTGTCTTCCCACTCTCATTTTGAAGTAAATATTCGTTTGTAAACATATAATTAAATTTGAGGCTGAGTGCAGTGGCTCACTTTCAGAGGCTGAAGTGGGTGGATCCCCTGAGGTCAGGAATTCAAGACCAGCCTGGCCAACACGGTGAAACCTCGTCATTTAATAAATAAATAAATATATATATTTGAAAGACCCTGCTCTCTTCTGAATAAACCTAATAATTTGACCCTTGGTCACGTTTATTTATTTATTCTGAAACAGAGTCTCACCCCATCACCCAGGCTGGAGTGCAGTGGCGTGATCTCATCTCACTGCAACTTCAGCCTCCCAAGTAGCTGAGATTACAGGCACACGCCCAGCTAATTTTTGTATTTTTAGAAGAGAGGGGGTTTCACCATGTTGGTCAGGCTGGTCTTAAACTTCTGACCTCAGGTGATTCACCCACCTTAGCCTCCCAAAGTGCTGGGATTATAGGCTTGAGCCACTGCGCCTAGCCACATTTATTTTTTGAAAGGCTGGAGTGGCGGAATCACCATTCACTGCAGCCTTGACCTCCAGGGCTCAAGTCAATCCTTCTGCCTCAACTTCCCAAGTAGTTGAGGCTATAAGTGTGCACCACCACCACGTCTGGCTAATCTGGATCTTGCTGTGTTGTCCAAGCTGGTCTGGAACTCCTGGGCTCAGTGATCCTCCACCCTCAGCCTCCCAGAGTGCTGGAATTACAGGCATGAGCCACTGTGAAGCCAACCCTTGATCTCTCTCTTGCAGAGAGGAACTGCCATTTGTTTTAGTTTCCTGGGGCCTACTATAACAAGTTCATATAAACTAAGAAAATTACTTACGGCGCTGGAGGCACCTAAGAACCTTGCCTCTTCCTATCTTCTGGTGGTTGTCAGTAATCCTTAGTGTTCCTTGGCTTGTAACTGCATTACTCCAATCTGTTGCTGTCATCTCATGGTCCTCTTCATGTCTCTCTTATGATTTGTCATTGGATCTAGAGCCCACCCTAATCAAAGATAACTTCATTTTACCTAATTATTTCTGTGAAGACCTTATTTCCAAATAGGGCCACATTCTGAGGTTCTAGTTGGACAAAATGAGGGGCAGGGCTTACTATTCAGTTCATCCTTCACTCTCCAAATCACTTTGGTTCATGAGTTTAGATAGCATGGGTGCTAGTGCTGGTGTTGATATGATGCTACCAATGTAAGCATTAGGGTTTTTTTATAATCACTTGGGCGGTCAGTTCTGGGCACTGACAAAATTCAGTTTGTGATCTTGGAATACTTTGATTATAGGGATACAGTGATTTGCCTTAGAGATTCTGAGGAACTGACAGCCCAAGTACCTTAATCAAATCCTGTAACTCATAAGACTCTGGTTTACTGCATTAGTTTGGAGAGGCAGGCCCCTTCTTCTCCTAAATGCAAGAATCAGAAGGCACTTAGTGACAAATACATATGCTGAGCAATGAGGAGAAAAAAAAAAGATACTGCCTGCTTTCAAAGGGTTGTCTATAACACTAAATTCTATGTTCATGATTCAGTCCATGCCCCTGAACAAAGTAACCTTTTTTTTTTTTTTGGAGACGGGGTCTCTCTCTCGCGCCCAGGTTTGAGTGTGGTGGTGTGATCTCGGCTTGCTGTGACCTCCGCCTCCCAGGTTCAAGCAATTCTGCCACAGCCTCCCAAGTAGCTGGGATTACAGGCGCTCACCACCATGCTCGGCTAATTTTTTTGTATTTTTAGTAGGGTTTCACCATGTTGGCCAGGCTGGTTTCAAACTCCTGCCCTCAAAGTCATCCACCCACCTGGGCCTCCCAAAGTGCTAGGATTACAGGCGTGAGCCACTGCGTGCGGCCCAAAGTTAACCTTCTATCAAATGGTTTATATCTGGAAAGGTGGGTGAGGAAAGGGTGACCTAGGGGATTGCAAAATAGATTATTGCAGATCCTACCTTTGTGAGCTTTTTGAATAATGAGGCTATAAAGGAATTTAAAAATCAGATTGAACCCTAATTCCGAAAACCCTCACTTCATTCAGGGTGTGGGCCGAAGATATGCTCATGTGGTGTTGAGGAAAGCAGACATTGACCTCACCAAGAGGGCGGGAGAACTCACTGAGGATGAGGTGAGGACAAGGAAGGGGGCTGGGGGCTGGGGGTCAGCCTCAGAAAGGCTGGGGGTCAGCCTCAGAAAGGGGGCCATGTAGATCTGACCTTGTCCTGCCTGCCAGGTGGAACGTGTGATCACCATTATGCAGAATCCACGCCAGTACAAGATCCCAGACTGGTTCTTGAACAGACAGAAGGATGTAAAGGATGGAAAATATAGCCAGGTGTGTACTGAAATGAGGGCAGGATTAGAGGAAGGGTGGAGGGTCCTGATAGAATTGGGCATAGGTGGTCAGGGGATAAAACATCCCTTGCCGCCTCCTCTGAATCCAGGTCCTAGCCAATGGTCTGGACAACAAGCTGCGTGAAGACCTGGAGCGACTGAAGAAGATTCGGGCCCATAGAGGGCTGCGCCACTTCTGGGGGTGAGTGGAGGTCTCATCTCACTGCCTACCTCGACTCACAGCATTCCTCCTACTCGCTCTTCCTTTTCCCCAACCTTTTCTTTGTGCTGTGTATGACCTATGACCCTTCTCTTTTTACCTGCAGCCTTCGTGTCCGAGGCCAGCACACCAAGACTACTGGCCGCCGTGGCCGCACCGTGGGTGTGTCCAAGAAGAAATAAGTCTGTAGGCCTTGTCTGTTAATAAATAGTTCATATATCTATGGCTTCCTGTCCTTTCTGTCCATTCTAATAGGGAATGTTAAAGTGCTGGGTCCCTTTTCCATTTAGAGCTGCCCTACTCAGTTGCCCACACAGTGCTATTGGTTTTAGCAGTGGTGATGCTGCAGACCCCTCAGTCTCCCTATGTGTAGCTAGTGATGTCCCTCTCTGTAAAGAGAAATGTGAGGGGAAAACAATTCCCAGCCTCGAGGGGGTGACCCAGACCAGTTTAGAGACCAGTCCCCTGGGGTTGGTGTGCAGCATGGTTGTGGAGTGGGTAGCTGAGCCTAGACAGTTGCAGTTCAGGTGAGTTTGCAGGTCTTAGTCACTCTGAGTTTTTTTTGTTTTGTTTTTAAAAAAGGGGTCATCTAGTTATAAGAGAAAATCTTTGGGGCTGTGACCAAAGCAACAAAGGCAAAAACACAGACGTTGGTTATGTAGGGTGTGGTCCCCCTGGTGGAATACGTGGGTGGGTTGGGATGGGGAGTGGCTGGACAGACCGGTCTCACTCCGTTTGGTGTCACTCCACCCGCCCGGGTTTCCGCGCCCTGCCGCGCTGCTCCGACGCCGCTTCCGGCGGGGATGGGAGCGCGCAGCGCGGAAGCGGGTGGCAGGCCGGCCGCCGGGGCGAGGCGGGGGAGGGGCCGTGAGTGCCGCAGTCGGCCAGCCATGGAGCGGAGCTTGCTGCCGGCGAGGCCGCGACAACAAGGTAGCCACCCCCGCAGCATGCCTCGACCGCGGTCCGCACTGCCATCCACCGACCCCCAGGGTGCGCTGGTCCCGGTCGCGCGCTCCGCCCTCCGCATCCCAGGTGTGGTCGGTTAAATCCCCGCCTTGACCCAGGCCCGGGGAGCTAGTCTCCGCCCTTCGCTCTCCGGATTACCCTTAGAGTGCGCCGCACCATGCCGCTCAGGCTCTTCCGGCGCCTGCTCCTCACCGCTCTGCTGCTGGTAATCGTCTGGACCCTCTTCGGGCCTTCGGGGTTGGGGGAGGAGCTGCTGAGCCTCTCACTAGCCTCCCTGCTACCAGCCCCCGCCTCACCGGGGCCGCCCCTGGCCCTGCCCCGCCTCTTGATCCCCAACCAGGAAGCTTGCGGTGGTCCCGGGGCTCCTCCCTTCCTGCTCATCCTGGTGTGCACGGCTCCGGAAAACCTGAACCAGAGAAACGCCATTCGGGCCTCGTGGGGCGGGCTGCGCGAGGCCCGGGGACTCAGGGTACAGACGCTATTCCTGCTGGGAGAGCCGAACGCACAGCACCCCGTGTGGGGCTCCCAGGGGAACGACCTGGCCTCGGAGTCAGCAGCCCAGGGGGATATCTTGCAGGCCGCCTTCCAGGACTCCTACCGCAACCTCACCCTCAAGACCCTCAGTGGGCTGAACTGGGCTGAGAAACACTGCCCCATGGCCCGATACGTCCTCAAGACGGACGATGATGTGTACGTCAACGTCCCCGAACTGGTATCAGAGCTGGTCTTGCGAGGGGGCCGTTGGGAGCAATGGGAGAGAAGCACGGAACCCCAGAGAGAGGCTGAGGTTGGAAATGAACAGCAGGAAGGAGGCCAGGCCTTGCACAGCGAGGAAGTGCCTCTTCTGTACCTGGGCCGGGTGCACTGGCGAGTAAACCCCTCTCGGACACCAGGGGGCAGGCACCGTGTATCAGAGGAGCAGTGGCCTCACACCTGGGGCCCCTTCCCACCCTATGCCTCAGGCACGGGGTATGTGTTGTCAGCGTCTGCTGTGCAGCTTATTCTCAAGGTGGCTAGCCGGGCACCCCCTCTCCCGTTAGAGGATGTCTTTGTGGGGGTAAGTGCCCGAAGAGGAGGCCTTGCCCCAACACAGTGTGTCAAGCTGGCTGGTGCCACCCACTACCCACTAGACCGGTGCTGCTATGGGAAATTCCTGCTGACGTCCCACAGGCTGGACCCCTGGAAGATGCAGGAAGCCTGGAAGCTGGTGGGTGGCTCTGACGGGGAAAGGACTGCGCCCTTTTGCTCCTGGTTCCAGGGAGTCCTGGGCATCCTGCGGTGTCGAGCAATAGCCTGGCTTCACAGCTGAGAGTGCCTGGGGCCACAGAAAAGGCAGGAACAGGACCTTCTCTCTCCCAGGCCCAACGCAGGGGCCCTCACTGGCTGGAGCTGATCTGTTTCCTCATACCAGATCCTCAGTCTCACTAAAGACAGGGATATGGGAGACACCCAGGGGCCTGGCCCGCCAGCCTGAAAGATGGTCATCAGGAAGAGAAAAAGAAAAAAATGCTGCAGCTGTTCTCTCAAGCTAGGGCAGAAGAGGGCTGTCAAGCTCCTCAATAAACTTCTCTCCACTTCTTCGAGTGCAGTGTGGTCTTCACCAGGACCCCCAGAACACCACAAACCTGGAGACCCCAGAGGCTGCCAGACCCTGCTTCATGGGAAGGACATCTCCAGGGACATGGGAGAGAGGACAGCCTCTCTGAGGAGGAAGGCCCCTAAAAGGCAAAGCTAAGGCCACAGCAGCCACAAGGTATGGGGGTGGGGGTAGAGGCAGGACACTGACTCCTCTGATCCTAGAATGGCCTCATGCTGGGCAAGGGGGAGGGGAACAGGTCCACAAGATGATCCAGACACATGATCCAAAAAATCGCTTTCCTCTTTAATACCAACCCACCCCAGGAGCCAGCTGTCCACCCCCAGTTGGGGAAAGGACCACAGTGCCCCACCTCCTTGTTCCAGGGAACACTCTTTTCCCTACAGGTGATCTTGGGGAGAGACTGTTCCCAGGCAACCCTGGAGTCTGGCTCAGCACACAAATCTGTCCAGGGCAGATGGCCGGGCCCCCGTGGACTTGGCCTTCGCTTCCTTCTGCTGCTGCTGCTGCTGCTGCTGCTGCTGAAGGTTCTGCCGGACCTTGTCCTGGGGACCGGAGAGGGGGAGGACACAGGGACAGTGAGAAGTGGCAGGCTGACAAGGGCAGAGGCACAAGCAGGAGGGTGCAGCCTGTGGAAGGCCCGGCCCATCCCAATACTCATCTACCCTGTGTTCCTCATCCATGACCTTCCTCTTCCTCTTCACCAGGCTTGCTGTGGAGCTGCGGCCCTTCTGCTTTGGCTTTGGCTGGAAGGGAGCCTTAGCCTCCGGGTCGTAGCCCTGAGGGAGGGGACAGGAGTCAAATCTGTTACAGCCTCGGTCGGAGTTAGGGAACTGGCAGCACCCACCTGCTGGCCACACTTCTGGGGACAAGCCATGGTGGGGAGAGGATGTGGGGGAGAAGACAGGCCTGGGCATTCAGGGGCCTGCTCCATACCAGCCTCTCTATCCGCTCCTTCTTTCCCTGCTCCAGAGAGATGACATCCACCTCGGCCAGGGCTCGTGGGTCAAGACAAATAAGCTCTGCAGGTACCTGAGGGTTTCACAGAGGGATAGGACTCAGCAAGGAGCCACAGGAGGGTAGCACCAAAAAGGGAAGCCAGGAAGGCTGCTGAACCCCTCTACCCAGGACCCCCAGCATGAGACCTCAGGATAGCTTTCTCTACCTCCAACCCAAAACCACATGCATACCTTCCCCAGCAGCAGGGGCCTCACAACCATGCTGCACACCAACCAGCGGGGGAACCTCACCTTCTCCAACAGGGGCAATCTCACCCTCTCCGCCAGGGGGAACCCTGACCTCTCCAGCAGGGGGGAACCTCACCCTCTCCAGCAGGGGGAACCTGACCTTCTCCAGGAAGGGGGAACCTCACCTTCTCCAGGAGGGGGGAGCCTGACCCTCTCCAGCAGAGGGGAACCTCACCCTCTCCAGCAGGGGAGCCTCACCTTCTCCAGCAGGGCCTTCACCTCCCACTCCTGGCGTTGCTTCCGG